CCCATGCGCACACCCCACGCGAGATCTCAGATCCTTTCTTTCATACTTGTGAAAAATAGGGTCATGGATTCGGGACTGGAAGGAATCCCTTGCTGCGATTCTGCAGGAATTAACGGTGAACAGACACCTGCCCAAGAGAGAAGGCCACAGTTCAGCCCGACCTCCAGGGCACCCTGATCTGAGCGCCAGGCTCTGACAGCCTGATGTTTCCAACGTTGTGCTTTTAAAATTGCTTCAAAACGTTTTGTCCTTTTGATGTTTTTCCCAAGTCCTGTGTACTTCCATGACAGAATCATTTTTTTACAGAGAAATACATACTGCCACCATAGCAAAGGTGCACATTTATTATGGGACCATTTTGGTGAAACCTCAGGCAGCATTCCGGAGCGCACCCCCTTCTCGTCTCCCCAAGCCAAGCTTTCCTGGAACACGAGGTTGTTATACTGCTCCAATAGGCAGTTGGGTTTCCAGTAAAAAGCAATGTTTAAATGCAAGACAGGTGAGGTCAATTTCATTGACCTCCAGGGCCCTCCACCTGCCAGCAGGCAGTGTGACAAATTGCAGCACAGGGACCTGGCGGCTGTCATGGACTCCTGCGTGCTCCAGCCTCTGGGACAACCACAGCCTTGTGGTGTTTAAGGTTTCTTTATTTTGAAACTTATTTATGAGATCCCAAATATTGCAGAAGTGTTCCAGCCCTCCCAGGGGAAGTAGAAATCGTGGGTGGCGGTTCATAGCAAATTTCTTGATCCCTAGAGTGCAGCCCTGGGACCCCAGCACCTGGGTTACTAAAGCCAGGCTTGGAAAAAACTGCAAGGACTCTGATCCAAGCCGACCTTGCCCTCCTGCAGGGCTCTCTGTGGAGGCCATCCTGTTCCCCTCTCCTAGCATGTCGATCTTTGATATCTGTGTGGGATCCTTGAAGCCCCTTAGCCCACAGCTGTTTAACCCAGCTGTCCCCCCACACCCACAACCTTGCCGACAGCACACGAGACCAATGCTCCAAGGCTTCTCTCTTGCTGAACGTGACCCTCTGCCCTTGACGCTGCAGTTGCGTGCGTGCTAAGATGTCGTACTTGCTCCTGGACTAGTTCTGCCTTTGGTATTCAGTTTTGACATGAATTAATCATCCTAATGTTGCAGCAACCAGAGTCGTAAGGAAGAATTGTCATTTTTGTGAGTCTGGAAAGAGCAAGGTGCTACTAAATATTGGGTGTGGAAAAAGTGGGGGTGACTCAGGGGTGCACTCAGAAGCCTTCTGAATGAGCTTCCTTCCCAGAAGTCCCTTCATTCTAGAGAAGAAAAGCCGCTTGACTCCTGGAAGACAACTTGGAACTCTAGTGGTGGCCTGGGGTCTTGCCTTCAAGACAACATTTGGGCCTCGCTGCCAAAGATCGGCAGAGCTTTAGGTCATAGAGATGCGAGATTCCAATTTCCATGACTTAAATTAAAATAACATGTTTATGTTAGTTACACCTCAGTTTTTATGGCTTCTCCATTGACTGGGTCTACAGTTAATTAACCAGAGTGAATTTTTACTCCCCGTTCTCGTCTTCTCCTATAGACCTCTCGAAGCTTTCCTCTAACATCAATATCCACTATCAGAGTAACTGTTGTGTTTCAGTTATATCCAATATAAAAGGATAGAAGATTTGAGAAATCATTGACTGAGCTGACTGTGCTCATCCTGGTGGGAACAGTGAGAGCTTTATGGAAAATTAGTTCGAGGAGTAAATGAGGACATTAAGAGACACTGGGATTCCAGCTATGATGTCCTGTACAGAACGCTCTGGGACCTGCCTGCCAAACCCTAGTAGCTTCTGACTGCAATAGAACTTTGGGGGCTGTGGGAATCACCTACTGCCAAGGGAAGGGGTTTTAAACTAGAGTTCTGAAAGAGGCATCCCAAACCCTACTTTTTCTCTAGCTCTGCCTCTTGGGATGCTTCTGCTTCAAGGCAAAGGGGCAGAGTTTGTGAGTCTGCCCAGGTCTCTCCTCTGTTCAGTTTCTAAAGATGCAAGTACTTGAGTGGAAGGGCCTCTGTGAATAGGCATGTCTTCCCGCTTTCACAGGAGAGCCAGAGTGGGCGCAGTGTCTCTGTCCTTCACTTGGCAAGAATTCCTCGATTTTAGAAGATTGCCCTGGTGTTTGGACACTCCTGGCTCTTTTGGACAGGAGGCCAGTGTGTTGGGATTCATGCAGCACGCCCGCTGAGCCAATCCAAATAGTAACCACTCCATGCTAATTCCCGCAAAGACAGATTACAGGTTCCTTCTCAGACTTGTTAAATCACTTCTCTTATTACTTTTTATATAAGTCACCTCTGGATTTAGAACAAAATGTATTTAAATTATTTCAGTTACATTGGAGGGTGTCCTAATAAATTCTTTTTTCAGTCACCCAGGAAATGTTAAATAGGTTTAGGCTGGACATGCTCACTCTCTGAACACTCCTGGAAATCTTTGCTTACTTCTGCCTTGCTGCATTAGAAGGCTAAATAAGCTTTAGCTCTTGAAGTAATGATGTAGAGGATGTTGCCTTTGAAGATGATTT